GTGTGTGTGTGTGTGTGTGTGTGTGTGTGTGTGTGTGTGTGTGTGTGAGTCAGAAAGGAAGTGATCTGTTTCAGAATCATCAGCTGAAAACAGGAACCAGCCGAACCGATCCCTCAAAGCTCGTTCCAGTAATCATCTCAACTTTTGAATCAAACTTTATTTTTATTTAACGTTGGGTTTTTTTCTGTTTTAGTCCTCACACAAAACTTTTTATTTTTTTATTTTTTTATTTTCACGTTTGACACTTTACAACTTTCGCTTCTGCTCTTTAAACATTTAACTCCTGCACTCGGTTGGGTCAAGAGGGAACAAACTTTGTGCAACGTTGAAAACCACAGTGGAGAAAAAACAAGTTTCATAATGTGTCGCACTGAAAACACAGCGAGAAGAAGCAGCATGCTCACCTCCTCAAGCACTACAATCGATTGAGGCGGCCATATTGCCATTGAAATAAATGGTCATAAATCATTGATGTATTTTCACTGTTTACCATTACAACCATTTTTATGTTGGCTAACACAATTAGCTGTGCGTCAGTCTTAAATGGGGCAACTAGTTCCAATGTTTGTTTGTTTTTCCTGAGAGCTTCAATAAAATCTGTTAGGAAATATTTTGCTAACAGACAGAAACAGCTGGCTCTAATAGTTACCAGCAAAGTTTTAAGGATAAATCTCACATGATCAGTTCATGCTAGAAGTATGTGTTGTACATCGCACTCATCTACTACCACGCCTAAATTTAGCTTGATATCCATCCAACTGACTGAGTTATAGCCAGTTTTGTGTTTGATAAGCTCACTTAGGTGTGGTGGCCATCTTGTGTGGGGCTGCCTCCAAAACTTACTCAGTTGTAAATGTACATCCAAGTAATATAGTCTGAACGTTTTATTCAAATCCTTCAAGTGGTTCATGAAATATTTTGCTAACAGACAAACACACACAGACATGAGCAAAACATTATCGCTCCCTGTGCGCCATTATTTTAGAGCTGTCCTCTTTCAGTCAAGATGCCCCTTGTTTGTTCCCATGATCCTTTGCAACATATTAAACCCCAACCAGCAAACGAGGCACTGCGTTGTGAACAGTTTTGGGTAAAAGTGTAAATAAATGTAATTTAACCACATCGCTCACATTTAGACACCTGGATATGGTGATATAAAAAGGAAGACATTTAATAAGTGGATCCAACAATGTTCAGTCAGGTCATCTGGGTGTTTTTTTTTTTTTTCTGAGACGTTTTGTCTTTCATCCAAAGGACTTCTTCAATCTGATGAGACACCAAACAAACTGATTCCCACAAACAGCACACTCCATCCTTTTTGGATGAAGGACGAAATGTCTCAGAAAAAAAAAAAATCCAGATGACCCGACTGAACATTGTTGGGTTTTATACCTGGATTATTGAGCACGAACTTTGGTGTTTTGAGCCACTTTGGCACGGCTGTCTCAGAGGAGTTGACGAGAGAAAGGGCGGGCCCCGGAGGCCATCTTAGCACTAGCGAACTGTTTTATTTCCTCTATGGGGTATGCTGTTTTGCAGGGATCAGTTTGTTTTGGTGGCTCTTCAGACTGAAGAAATCCTTTGGATGAAGGCTGAAACATCGCAGCAACAACAAAAGAAACAATCCAGATGACCTGACTGAACATTGCTGGATTTATTGAGCATAAACTTTGGTGTTAATAGGTAATACTACTATACCAAGGCTTTGGAATTTGTAGAGGAAAATGTTTTGTATTTTTATTATATATAGATGTTTAAATTGTTCGCATTTTAATGTATAGTTCTTATATGAATTTGGAGGTTGTAAGGTTGATTACATGAATATGTAGGCAGTAATACTTATGTATTCCTACTGTATTTTGATTGATAAATTGTATGTATTTTAATGCGTAAATGCCCAGCCAGGGACTGGAATTGTGAATCAGCTATAGCGATATAGTCTTTGTGCAACGCATCCGTCACAGCCTTGTTCTGTTCTATGTTTGTGTGCATTGTCCCTGTCAAATAAACTAATATTAATAATAATAATAATAATAATAATATTTCCCCACTGAGGCTCTTTAGGGTTGTTTTGTTACGTATGAATCTTACAGCAAACGTCATAAACCCAACTTCCTCTTCTCCCACTGACAGGGCGACGGACACGTGTCCACATGTGGCGCAGACTGCACAGCTGCTCGGCTTAGTTTAAAAACGAGGTTTGCACCGGGTCCAACACACGAGAACAAACGTGACATTTTAGGAAACCTCGACCGCCAGTCAGGCCAGACCCTAAAATCATGTTGCGCTGAAAAATGGAGCCATTTTTTGGTGAAACCGTGAGAAAAATGTTTGCTGCAAAGTCAGACAAAGATGTCACACTCAGTGTTGTGATGACTCTCAGCCACAACCCAAACACATTCTAGCAGGATATCTGAAAAAAAAAGGCTGAATTTTAGCCACTTTTTGTGTTTTCTCAGGTCAGTTGGCTGTAGCATTTATTTTGAAATATATTTTGAAATAAGGCTCAAAAATATTCAGTTATTTAAAAAAATTACATGAAATTATTATTTTAGGAACGCCTGATTAAAACTGGTCAAGTGATCTTTGAGATCCAACAAAGTTCAGTCAGGTCATGTGGATGGTTTCTTTTTTTTTTTTTTTTTTTTTTTTTGAGACGTTTCGTTCATCCAAAGGACTTCATCAGTCCCAGGAGCCACATACAAACAGAGTCCCACAAGCAGCACACTCCCATAGTGGACCAACCAGTTTGCTGGTGATAAGATTGGTCCACTATGGGATTTTACTGCTTGTGGGACTCAGTTTGTTTGTGGCTCGTCGGACTGATGAAGTCCTTTGGATAAAGGACATCTCAACAAAAAAATAAACCGTCCAGTTGACCAGATTGAACTTTGTTGGATTTTTTTTTTTTTCCTGGATTATTGAGCCTGAACTTTGATGATTTTTGAGATGTTTTGCTAACAGACAGGCGCAGCTGACTTCATGATTTTAGTGATCACAGCACGGGTTGGGGGTTAGTCCCACCTACAGTCACTCCAAACAGAATGTCTATAAAACTGACTGTTGTAGTCATGGTTGTGTTTCTGATGCTCAGTTGGCTGCGGCAGCCATATTGAATCACACTTTCGGTAAAACTTGTCATGATATATTTTGCTTCCAGACAAATGAACACACAAACACAGTGAAGAGCAAAAATATTACAGCCTTCGGCGGATTGCATTAATGAAAAAAAAAAAAAAAAGATAACATTTCAACATTGTCCTGCACAACCTGCTCCCCCCTGCTGCTCCAGATGAAGAAATGTTTACCGCCTCGAGACAACTTTGGTCACACAGATAAATGTTGCTGCTGGGAATGGAGTAAAAAAAGAAAAACCAGCTGCTCATAAATTTTGACGTTAGTTGCAACGTTTTCTGTCACTGCTCTTTTTATGAGCTTCCTGTTCTTCTTCATTTGACATTTTGTAAATCAGAGACAGGAAGCTCAGCGCAAGAGGAAATGGAGCTGCAGCACCTGTGTTCTGTTTCTAAACCTGTTTGTTGTTCACGTTTAGACTGAACGTTTGCCTCTAACATGAATTTTCTTTCACAAGTTTTTTTTTTAATTCACCAATCTTTGCATGACGAACTCTTTAAACTCTGCTTTTCTTCATCATTTCATGTTTCTTGAGCCTCAAAAGCAGCTGCTTTCTTTATATTCTTCAGATCCTCGTCGAGATCTCAGGGCTGTACCCTCAGTTTGCTTCTTTACAACATTTTTCCTGCAAGTTTTGACCTGCACAGCTCATCCAGTAACATCAAACCACAGCTCACACACGCTGAAGAATCTCCATCTGGTCACACTTTATTCTCCTCAACACCACCCGGAAGTTGAGCAAACTATTCTTTTACTTTTAAGCATTTCTGCCCTTCGTTAATTAAGATTCTAAACTCAGGCCTGATTCTCTCCATCAACAACCAACTCAGACCCTGAAGGCAGCTTAAGTTAGAGAAAAGAAAGGTGAAGTAAAGTAATGGCGTACCCATCTCCCACGACCACACATTTGATGGCCTGCATCCTGTTCCGCTCAGTGTCGCCTGCGCTCCTCTCTCTGACAGAAACGCACTCAGAGAGGAAGGCCGAGTGATGAGCTTGAAACTACAGGAAACTGTTGCACACCTCCCTCCTTCCCCCTGCAGCCTATGCTACCTCTTTTTTTACAGCCTCCCCTCCTTTATTTTTGCACTCATCTCACCTTCCTCTTTTTATCACGTTTTGTTCTTCTTCTCTTCTGTGTCTTTGTTCTTTGTCAAAAACCAAAAACATAAAAAATTAAAAAGAAAAAGGGCAGTAAATTTAAAAACCATTTCTGCTAAAGTGGATTAAATGTTAAGATGGATGAAAAGAGGAAGCTGGTGCAGATATGCATTTATATAAGGAGAGGCTGTAAAAAAAAAAGAGATAGCATAGGCTGCA